TCAGGCAGGGAGCAGAGTGCCCCCCACCGCCACAGCCTTCTCCTCAAGGGGATGCCAACTGGCTAAGTAGGCAGCGAGGCCACGGCTCCTCTGCCTGGACTGAGAGCCAGAAGACCCTCAGCTGAGTCCCAGTGTGCTGAAAGAACAACATAACGTGGAATAAATGTTCATTCGTGCTTTTGTGGGAGGTGGGGATAGAGGTTTGTGCTACAACACATAGCACAGAGCTGGTGCTGTTTTCTGAACAAAAGCTGGACACCTGGTGTGCTCAAGCAAGGCACCTTTGAAAAACAAACCCAGCTATTAAAATCAGTAAGCAGGCCCTCGGATACAGAATGGCAGAAGGCATCACTGCTTCTCAAAGCAGCCAGCCTCAGGTTTTCTCACAAACACTCCATGGACAACATTTGCTGTTATACTCCCAGTTCCTGAGGTGGTGGGTTTTTTAACCCACTTTGTTCTCACGGTGTTTTCCAAACTAAGGAGGGCCACTTCTGCAGATCCATCCGTCCAATTTAATACCAGCTATTGGAGGGTTGCCAAGTTGTTTTGCTTGAAATGGCTCACGGGGGCTGGCTGCTGAAAAGTCAGAAGATCGGCATTCTGCATGTGGATTTTGTTAAGTTATGTCAAAGATAAGGGGGAAAAGAGGTGGGGGAGGAGGAAAAGTCTTCTGGCAATATCACTGTTGGAAGCAGAGGCAGAAGCAAGCTCTCTGTAGTTCTTTTGACTTGCTTACAGAATGACTGCACCACCAGGGGAGGGTGAAGGCCTCTCAGAGCACCTTATGTTGACCCCCAAAAAGGGAACCATGGCCAAAGAATTGCCCCTTTTTTTTTTTTTTAAATTTTTTTTTCCTGTTTTTAATTAAGTCTTGCAGCACTCCAGAGATGACAATTACTGTTTCTTCCTTAGCCCCCCACAACTTGTTACCTTGGTAATACAAACTGGCAAACCAAGCTAATTTCCTTATTTTTGACAAATCCACATTGGCTGTCACTCATCCCTGCATTTTCCCCTTTCATCACTGAACTTACATCTCAAGACAACAGTCTTAGCAGACCCCTCTCTGCCCATCTACAAACAAGTCAGTATGTGACTACTATACAAGCAGAAAACCTCCCTTTGGGACTGTAACTGCCTCCCCTTTGATGTGCAATAAATGAGTTGGCTCCTAATTAACTGCAAGAGATTTACATGTGATCAAATGAAATGACATAGAACTCGTCATATCTGCTTGATGGGAATGGTGAGTGGCATCCTCTCTCATGGACCTGGTGCTGCAGCCTCTGATGAATACCACCTCCCTGGAGCCTGGAAATAGCATTTTTTACAACAGCAGCAGCTTCCCAGCATAGCTTGCTACTTGTCACCTCTGAGGATTAAAAGGTTTTGGACAACACCTATAAGATAGTATTTCAGGCTCCCAGGTTACAAGGACTGACCTGCAAAAGTAGAGTACGAAGGGTCCCAAGGTGAGTGGGGATGAGATGTGAGGTGCGATGCCTGTCTTCTATCCCTGGTTTAGGGAGACTGTGCTAGGAGATCCCACTTAGATG